CACACACACACACACACACACACACACACACACACACACACACACACACACACACACACACACACACACACACACACACACACACACACACACACACACAATCCTTAAGGCAATAGGAGTGAAGGGACTTCTAGTAGCTTTTTGAATGCAAATTGACTTCCTCTTATGTCTTCCTCACTGCCTGCTAGGCCTCTCTCGCTTGTCAGCACTCAGTCTTATCTTCATAGTGACACACGCCCATCGGGAGATTTGGCCTTTTATTCAGACACACACACACACACACACACACACACACACACACACACACACACACACACACACACACACACACACACACACACACACACACACACACACACACAAAGTACTAGAGGTACTCTAAGGGAAGTAGACAGTGAACATTGAGACCTGGGGAGAGGTCATAATGAGAAACTGTGTACTTCCCTTTCAGTACTTTTCTCTTTCTTCACCTCAGAATATTTTACATTCAAACGTTGGTTTTTCAATGATTATCAGGGTTGAAGGTGGTATTGTATCATTTAGAGGTCTAAGGAAACCACTACATTTAGCATATAAAAGTCTGTTTGGATATTCTCAATGTATTGGTTTTGGATCTATTTGTACAGAAAATGATTTTTGAAGCTTGTCCTCCCTAAAAGAAAAACGCCTCTTTTCCAACACTGCGACCCCTGGTGGCAAAGCTAATTCACATGTGGATTACAGTTAGTAATTATTGTCCTGCTGAAATAAACTTAGCAGCTGTGGATGTTTTAAAATGTGTTGTTACACAGACAATGTTCTTCTGAAGCTGCGGAGAAATGCTATCAGGCCTGGAAAACATGAAGTAACAGTCCTGGCATTCCAGCACCGCCCACACTGCCTCTGTAGACTTCGTCTGCCCCCTCCTGGCCTCTGGCTCTCATGTGTTGGATACTCCCATAATTAAAAACATAAATGCATATACTGCGGCCTGACTGTCTTTTAAAGCACGATAAGGAACTACCTTTCCCCCCCAGATGTTTCTATGGCACAGTTTTTAAGCAGACATTTAATGATCTACCATTTGGTTCTCTTATGTTTTACAGAGAGTAGTGACAGCTTTGGACAAGACTTGGCATCCAGAGCACTTCTTCTGCGCCCAGTGCGGAGCCTTTTTCGGACCCGAAGGTACCAACTGCTCATGAATTAATAACACAACACCTGGCTTGTGTAGAAAAAAAGAACAATGCTGAGTTTTCATTAACCGAAAGAAGCATGCAGAGTGAATAACTGAGTCTTTGCTGCCCTCTAGGTTTCCATGAGAAGGATGGGAAGGCGTACTGCAGGAAGGACTACTTTGACATGTTTGCCCCTAAATGTGGAGGCTGTACCCGTGCCATCCTGGAAAACTACATCTCTGCCCTCAACTCACTCTGGCACCCTGAATGCTTCGTCTGCAGGGTGAGTCACTCATGCATCTATAACGAATTTGGGTATTTTTGTTTTAAGTAAGCATTATAACTTCTACTTCCTCTTCTCTGAATTTCCAGGAGTGCTTCACGCCATTCGTAAACGGCAGCTTCTTTGACCATGACGGTCAGCCTTACTGCGAGTCTCACTACCACGAGCGGCGCGGCTCGCTGTGCTCCGGCTGCCAGAAGCCCATCACAGGCCGCTGCATCACCGCCATGGCTAAGAAGTTCCACCCGGAGCACTTTGTGTGCGCTTTCTGCCTGAAGCAGCTCAACAAAGGCACCTTCAAGGAGCAGAACGACAAGCCCTACTGCCAGGGCTGCTTTGTTAAACTCTTTAGTTAGACTGTGTGGTTGCGTTTAAATGTGTAAGTACGCGCGTATGCACATTTCTGAATGCACGCGTGAAATGTGTGTGCACTCACATGTCTAGCATGAGTCAGTTTGACCCTCGACACCGAAGGGTCCTCTGGCTGTCCAACCTCTCCGGCTTGGCATTTCACACTTTTGCTAAAAGACATTTTGAACAGAGCCCAAAGAGATTTTTATTTAGAGTTCTTCTCCTGTGTGCAGCAAAGAAAATGTGCTAATTTCCCCTTTCACGTGTGTGTGTACATAAATAAGTATATGGCTGTTGAGTTAAGACCTCCTCAGAGCCCTGATTTTGAAAATGATTAAATTCCCCCATAGCAGGTCAAGACTTTTCAATCTATGGTGGTTTTATGCAGATATGAGAAGCTGCTCAATTGCATGGACCAGGGTGAGTTGACTTCAGCAGTGTATACGCAGAATCTGTTGAGTGTTGAATACATAGTGATTGGCAAATCAGTGTTAGAATGATCTGTGAAAAATATGTATTTTTCTAGCTTTGGAAACAATTGAGGTGCCATTTAAAAAAATATAAATTGAAACTCTCCACATGTAAACAGACACACACTGAACTCCTTTTTCACTTCTTTAAAATACCAGTGTAAACTCTTTAAACACTCCAACACAGATCTCTTGATGAGACGTCTTAAGGTGCATTTTACAGGTGTCGGCAAGATATTAGCTAGTCCTTATTTTTCTACTGTTTTACTACGAAAAAGAACTCACGTGATTTCTCAGTTTCAGAAAACATTACGTTTACATTACTCTTGTTAATTAACATATAGATAAGTTGCCATTTGTTTCGCTGTAGTAACTCAGAACTGTTTCATTTTTTGCTACCCCACCGCAAAGGGTGTGTTGTGTCAATCACATTAATAACCATCAAAAAATGCAAACGGTTTTGACAAAAAGTAGGTCAATAACAAAAACATATGTACCGTACTATGATTATTAAAGTTGAACGTAAGGTGCAAGTTTTAGCCAACATTTTTGAGCCAAAACAAAGTTTAATGTCTTTACTCCAGTTTTAATGTGGAGATTCTATCTTCTGAATGTAATCACACAGAAAAAGAAAAGAATAAATGACACTGCAGTTTAATTTACGATTGCTACTGTGTGAATTTATCACTGTATTAATAAGGCTGGTTTTAAATACGGTTGTGCATTTGGATTAGAGGCAGGCTTTCTTTTGTGTGGAGTTTTATCAGCAGTAGCTGCCAGTTGCTGTTACAATCACAATCTAAATTTGTATAGCTGTAATATGCTCCACTTTGAGACAGAACTGTGTTTTGTCACTGTTTTGATGAAAATATATATATTTTTTGAGATGTTGTGGCTCACACTGATATGCAAAGAGCTGGCTCTATTGGCATGTAGGCTATCAATAGTTTACCCTATTCTTACACACACAACACCAACCAGCTTTGATTCCAGTGTGTCAGACTTCCAATGAAACGCAGCCCTTATTATTTTCTTTGTGAGTCCTAAACTGTGATCTTGCTGTCTGAGCTGAAGTCAGCACTTGGCTCTCTGATGGATGCAGCCGGGTGTTAGCTGGTCAGGAATCAGAATACAGGGCCAAGCCTCTAGCAACATTTATGTATAACTCATTTCATCTTTATTTTCTCTGTTGCTCGATTTTGCCACATATATGAAACAATTGGTGAATGGTTTTTTCGGACAATATTAATTGTCTTTATGATCACTATGCGTGTATCCACATTTGGATTGTTTTTATTTTGTTTAAATGTTTGCTCTTGTGCCAAATGTGACAATGCAATAAGGTCTTATACACTGTGGAGTTCTCAACCCTTCCTGTGATTTGACTCTTTATGGGCTGAACTCCGGGAGAGGCTTCGTCTGCTGCGGTGCATCTTAACTCATAAACGTTTACACTGTAATAAACAGTCGAGTCAGATTTACAGGAAGTAGCAGGGGGGAAGTGAACAGGAATTGTGAGTTAATGTTGCTCCATGTATATTTATCTGCTTACAGATTATTGCCTTATTGTTTTTGCTTCTGTCAAAGAATTCATTAAAAAAAAAATCTACGCCTTTTATTAATGAAATTGAGTGAATTTGTAAATGGAGACATTCATGTGATCCTTTACCATTTACATTTTCTCACGAGCCACACATTTTACTGGCTCTTTGTGTGGGTGGGGTGAAAGACTATGATTACTGACTGATTATTATACCTGCTGCGAATAAAATAAGTACTTTATTTCTGGTACTGTTTTGTTTTAAAAGTGATTTCTCTTTCCACCATTTTTTTCTAGTCACTGTTTGCATTGAACCAGGTCTTTAGTATACAAGATGTCCATGTAATATTAAAAAGAACTTGAGAGGAAACTATTTCGATGTATTCATTTTTATTTATTAGTAAGATTGAATATGATCATCAACCAACATTAATTTCAGTTATGAGTGAAAATAAGATGTGATGCATAACTAAACAAGTTCAAGCTCCACATGAATTAATAAACTGTTTCATAAAAAAGTACAAAATCAGAATTAATTGCAATAAAAGGAATTAATTATAAGTGTCTTTGTGTACATTAAGCATTTGAGTTAATAGTCCGTTAATTAAGGGAAAATTGGGTGATCATTAGTTAGTTATCGGCCCCTGGCACTCACTACATGACCCCTTTTCAGAGGGTGGTCTCCTTATTGGGAACTCTGGATTAAGGTTAACAATGGAATGTATGACAAGGCACCACATGAGCTGTGCAATTTGAAAATGTGTAGCTTTGTTTGAGGTATATACATGTTCACACTTGAAATCCCAGATATGCATTTGACCCCGACAATATGGAAATAATCCGACTGGCCTGCTAAAACAGAGCAGTTCAATTCACCTGACAAACACAAGGACAAGTCAGCACATCTCTCTTGCGAGGAGACGTTGTGACCTGAAGTCTGAAGTTTGTGAGAGCTTGGAGCTTTCTGGTGAGCTCAGAGAGGTGCGGGCTGATATCCAGAATCTCCAAGTATTCCAGGTCCTTCAGCTGGTGAAGTTGCAAGAATTCTCTCTCTGATACGTGTCCATGCCGCAGTTTGAGACTTTTCAGCTTTGGAAAAAGTTGTGGGATTTGAGCTGCCTGAGCTCCTAAATGTGAGGGCCAGGGGTCAATGTGAAGGTGCAGGAGATTTGGTACCTGCACTGACACCGCCTCCATGTCCTGCAGAGACAATCCTGCAACACACAGAGTGAGACTGGTCACTGTGGCTGGAATGGATGTGACATACTTTTTAACAGGCGGGCCCTTGACTATGACCAGTGTTGACAGTTGAGAGAGGTCCCTCAGCCAGGTTTTTAGGTGACCACCATCTGTTGCTAGCAGTCCTTCTATCATCTGGTGATGTGAGTGTCTGTAGAAAACAGCAAGATGCTTCAGGCCAGGCATTAGCTTCATTGCATCTGCTTGAAATGAGTGAGTCGTGCAGTCAATAAGTTCCAAACTGGACAAGACTGAGGCCCCATCTCCGCCTGGGGGACCTGGGCTGGGTCTGGACCTATTGTTAAAGGTGCACAGTGTATGCCCAATGGACAAAGAGAGATGTTTAAGCATAGGCAGACAGGTAAGTATGGAGGGAACATGAACCATCCACAAAGAGTCTTCGAGTCTCACTTTATGATAGACTAGAGATGTAAGATTTGGAAACAGGCGGACAGCTGAAATTAAGCTAGACCCTGCTATAGTGGTAAGTTTAACATCACACATGCTCAGGTGAGTCAGCTGCCGGGGTTCATACACAGTGGAGCCATCTAGCAAAAGAGGAGTGCCACTGCCTCTAATAGCCAGACGCTTCAGATGTGTGCATTCCTTTAAGAAGCTGAGGCTTGCTTGGGAGCTTTGGTCCGTTACCACTGTGGTGAGAGTAGGAAGGGACGAGGCCAGCCGTTTCAGGTCCTTAGTTCTGGTGCCCCTCAACACCACACTGGTGACTTTTCTGCGGCGCAGAGTGCCCCAAAACTGACTGTTAGAATATCCCTTATGGTAACCCAGAACCACCGACCAGTCTTTCCAAAGAGATCCGTGGTCAACAAGTTTTTTGAAATACTTGCAGGCTGTCCGGACGCTAAACTTGTCTTCCGCTGAGAGATAACCAAAAACGTGGCTCCAGACCTCTGCCGGGAGCTGTGGTGCCGGCTGTGTCATCGCTTGAACATAATTATCTAAACCGATCTTGATCGTTGAAACGGATGAGTGTTTGTCACTTTGGTTTCGCGGGATTTCACCATTTTCACACGAGGCAGGTGAAAGGAAGTGATCGCATAGCAACCAACCAATAACTATGAAGCTGACGCCCATATTCCTTTGTGATTGACAAAGAAACCAACTAATAGCTTTCAAGTGGACGCCCATACTCCCTTGTGATTGACAAAGAAACCAACCAATAGCTTTCAAGTGGACGCCCATTCTCCCTTGTGATTGACATAGCAAACAACCAATAGCTATGAAGATAATGCCCATACTCTCTTGTGATTGGTCACTTATTTTGTATAAATTCTGTTTGCGTCAATTCCTGTTTCTCTTTCTTTCACGCGACCCTCTAGTCACGGTAAGGCCTGCTCCTGCTATTCTAGGAAACAAAAAAAACACCTTTTCTTTTAAACGGAGAAGGGCCACATACGGCTTTTGGTATAACAACAACCACTTATAGCACTAACATATATGTTATGGTTCCTGTAAAAGTACGGCGTGGTGACGGCCTACTCAATACACCGCTAGCTGTTAGCCGGCTAACGTTAGCACTCGGCCACATGGCATGTTGTACAGATTACGTTGCCTATGTTCCGTTTTATACGTCGCATCTAGCAATGTTTTTATTCTTTCCCTTGAGAAGTGAGTTCAACGGTCATCATGTTGATACTTTGAGTCGTTGTTTTTGATCTAGCAGGATAAGTTACAATGCAGCTTGTTTGGTACTGCTTTGTCGTTCCCCCTGCGCACAATAAACTGTTTCCTCGCTATACCTGTCAGTTAGCATCACTCGACTGCCAGGCACGAAAGGTTTCAGACATTTAATCTGCAATGATAAGACAGCTTTTATTCATTTCTGGAGGATATCAAAAATCAATTCTTACTAGTAAGAATGCTAATTCTTGATGTCAAACATTCTTATTAGTAATGTTTATTTCTGATATCAAAAATAGAATTTTAACTAGTTAGAATGCTAATTCTTGATCAGAAATTAAATTGTAACTCGTTGTAATGTGTATTTCTGGTATCAGAAATACGATTTTTAACTAGTGAGAATTGCATAGTTCTCATTCATTTCAATGGGAGTTGGAATTTGAACTAGTTCAAATGCCAACTCCCGATATAAGTAAATTCGATTTGAACTAGTAAAAATATCAAGAATTCAATCTCAACTAGTCGAAATGCCAATTGTTGATATCAGAAATACAATTTGAACTAGTTCCAAATCCTTTTTTCTTGATATCAGGAATTCAATTGTAAATAAAAATTGAATTATAACTACTTGCCATATAAGGGTTTCATATGGACTAGTTATCACTTCGCCACATGTCATGTTGTACAGATCACTTATGTGCCGTTTTATACATTGCATCTAACAATGTTTTTGTTTTTTCTGCAGATATTACCTTGTCTTTAAATCAGCTGTTCAGCGATCCTTGGAAGCACTGCAAAGATGCCCAGGGAAGACAGGGCCACGTGGAAGTCCAACTATTTTTTGAAAATCATCGTAAGTAGGACTTGACTTATGTAAGTTGTTATCAACACAGTATATATTTTCCACTAAGATTTTTACAGAATATGTATTTGATTGATGTTTATCTATTTGTAGCAACTTCTGGATGATTTCCCCAAATGCTTCGTTGTGGGTGCAGACAATGTCGGCTCCAAGCAGATGCAGACCATCCGTCTGTCTCTGCGAGGAAGGGCTGTGGTGCTCATGGGCAAAAACACCATGATGCGCAAAGCCATTCGTGGACACCTTGAGAACAATCCTGCCCTGGAGAAGTGAGTTCAACGGTCATCATGTTGATACTTTGAGTCGTTGTTTTGATCTAGCAGGATAAGTTACAATGCAGCTTGTTTGGTACTGCTTTGTCGTTCCCCCTGCGCACAATAAACTGTTTCCTCGCTATACCTGTCAGTTAGCATCACTCGACTGCCAGGCACGAAAGGTTTCAGACATTTAAACCGTTTTCATATAATTGATTTTCATATCTGCAATGACAAGACTGCTTTCATTCATTACTGGAGGATATCAAAAATCTATTCTTAGTAAGAATGCAAATTCTTGATGTCAACATTTGAATTTGAACTAGTTAGAATGCAAATTCTTGATCATAAATTCCATGGTAACTAGTTGTAATGTTTATTTCTGATATCAGAAATGCGATTTTTAACTAGAGAGAATTGCATAGTTTTTCTCATTCATTTCAATGGGAGTTGGAATTTGAACTAGTTCTTAAACTTGTTTGTTATATCTGTACCATATCCACCATTTAAGATGTGTCTTTTATTCTAGGGTGTGAGGAACATTGCAAGCGTGTGTCTGACGATTGGCTATCCCACTTTGGCCTCTGTCCCCCACACGGTCATCAATGGCTTCAAGAGAGTCCTGGCTGTCGCTGTGGAGACAGACTACTCCTTCCCCCTGGCAGACAAGGTACACACATTCAATCAGCACTTGAGTAACATGTTGATCAGAATTCCTTTTACTGTGGGTTCTCTCTAAGTTTTTCCTTGTTCAATGTGAGTTTCATATTCTGTATAAACGGTAAAGTCCTATGAGACAAATGTAACATTGGCCTATATAAACAAACATGGATTCATAGACATTTTTAAGTGCAGGATAAGTTACAATGCAGCTTGTTAAGTACTGCTTTGTCGTTCCCCCTGCAAACATCAACTGTTTCCTCGCTATACCTGTCAGTTAGCATCACTCGACTGCCAGGCACGAAAGGTTTCAGACATCTTGGCTTTAATCAGATGTTTGCCTCTGTAGACCAGGAAAATCCTAAATGTCAAACTAACAATATCTTTGTGTTCACAGGTCAAGGCCTTCTTGGCTGACCCATCTGCATTTGCTGCTGTCGCAGCACCTGTAGCGGCTGCAGCTGAGACCGCTCCGGCTGCTAAGGAGGAGGCTAAGGAAGAGTCTGAGGCTGAGGGATCAGATGATGACATGGGCTTCGGTCTGTTCGACTAAAATAAATACAGCGAACA